CTTTGGTTGCTGAAGAGCAGTGAGGGTTTCAGGTTGCTGATGAGCAATACCTGAAGACCCTTGCCTGTCTCTGTCCTTCATTACCATGGGTGCAACAGTCATGTCCGACACAGTGGCAAGGGCAAGGGTCTCAGGTTGCTGATGAGCAGTGGGGGTCTCAGGTTGCTGGAGAGCACTGCCTGAAGACCATTGCCCGTCCCTGTCCTTTCTTGCCATGGGTCCTGCTATGGCAGGTAGAGGCCGTGGGGCAGGGGGGGGGGGGGGGGAGCAGGGGAGGAGTTAGTCCCGACGTTAGGTGAGAGTGGTTGTGCGTTTTCGAGCGGGTGACCTTGTTCTCGGGACGTACAGTTTCAAAGCTCAGTTCCCCTACCATTTTTGTGGTGCTATCTCGAGGCGAGTGTGTTGTCACTTGGGTGACAGCATTCCCCTCCCTAGGAGGGGGCAGCGTCCCTCCCAGCGGTGGCCCACCCTTATTGCTGACGGGGGGGGGGTGTGCAGAGGCTGCTTGCTACCCCAGGTCAGCTCCCCCGTCAGTTTCACGCTGGCATCTCCACCGGAGTGACTGGTATTTCGGGCACCTGATTTCCCTTCCCCGGGGGGAAGCGTTAGACCTTCTGATGAGGGCCCGCCGCTCTCACGGGCGGCTAGAGTGGGCAGGGGCTGCTTGTTGTCCTGGATCCCATTTGGCTTCGGCCTGTATGACATAAGGGGGCGGGGTGGGAGCGGCTTTCTGCGTGTCAAGGGGGCTCCTGTTTCCCCTGGCGCAGCAGCTCCTTCCTTATTGGTTGCATGTGATGACCTCTCGTCTCTCTTACTTTTCCCGTGTCCCAGGTCGGCCTCTACCTTGCCCTTCTGTTTGGAAACACTGTTATCTTGCACCCTTGCCCCGGACGGGAATGCATTTGGCTGCCCTGCCCCCTGCCAGATCCATTTCCCAGGACGGCTGTCTGCATATGCTCTGAGGATCCACCCATCAAGTTCCTTTTCTTCGGGAAACCACCATTCTTCGTCCGTAGGGTGAGGGGGCACCAACCCTCTGATCTTCAGTCTGTTGCAGTTGGGGCATGCCTCATCATTGCATAAGTGGCCTCTTTGTTTGCACACATAACACCACGGGTCTTGGGAATGACTGACGGGGACTGAGAACTCCTTCCCCCCTTGAGAATATCTCCATTCGTCATTGAGGGGGAAAGGATAATCTGGGTCCCAGTCCACTGCCACTAGGAGGGAGTCATCCCTCTTTCCCAAAAACTGTGGCAGATCCGTGATGTAGCCTTTAACAGGAGCAATATTCTCGAGGTCAGTGAGTATTGCTCCCTGCACACAGAGGGGAGCAAATCTGAACTGGACCCAGAAGTCGGTTTTCATGAGATACTCTCTTCGATCGTCACTCGACTGTGGGTTGGCAAGAGTCCATGCGGAGATTTGCACAGGCCTGACTCTAAATTGCAGCACATTGTTCTTCAACATGAGATGTCTGTCTGTCGAGTACAGTGATGCAGTCGGAGCTTTCAGCTTCGATGAGAAAATGGTCGTGCACAAGCCGGCGGTCGGTTTTAATCCTTCCCAATTTATCAGCAATACATTTAACTTTGTCGTTAATAGGGATCGTTGTTTGGATTGGATGGAAACGGAAATGCAGTGCACAACGCGAGTAGATTGCATCTCTCGCCGCCCTCGCTTGAGAGGGGAAAACAGAGTGAGGATAGATGTACCCGTCCTTGACTTGAAATTTCCTTTGCGGCTCCACAAACAACTGTTCGATGAGCTGGCTTTTCAGCAGGGGCATGCCAGCCAGTGTGGAGGACCTATCAGCATCGGTCTGTGCAGGGGCAGAGAGGGCTCTAATTAATTGGGGCGGGGATTTTCTTTTATCGGCAAGGGGGGGGATCCCGTTCCGAACCCCAGATCCCAATCCCGACCCTGTTGCCATCACTTTATCCTTCCACATGGTTTGTTTCTTCCCCTCTTCAGGTGTCGTTGTTCCCTGATCCCCGCCCTGCTGCGGTTCCAGGGCCTTCCGCTTTTCGATCTGGGAGGAGGGCATCGCCCCCTCACTGCAAATCGCCCCCTGGGAGGGGCCTTGCTCACCAGGGGGGGGGCCAGAGGACGATCCCATCTGGCCCTCCTGCAGCTGCTGTGCTCGTTTTTTCAACGTCAGGGCCTTCCGCTTTTCGATCTGGGAGGAGGGCATCGCCCCCTCACTGCCAATCGCCCCCTGGGAGGGGCCTTGCTCACCAGGGGGGGGGGCTTGAGGACGATCCCATCTGGCCCTCCTGCAGCTGCTGTGCTCGTTTTTTCAACGTCA